GAGGAAGATGTATGAATCTATCAGTTGTTAGACAAAAACCTGTTTTTAGTGTACAGATGAAGAAGAAGAAGACTAACAACTTGTAGGTAGATCTGACTTTACTGGTCACTGTTGTCTTTAATATGCGGACGTAAAATACATTTAAATACAATGAACCGACATGAATGTAACGAAGTCAGCGTGTACAAAATAAATGTATGAAATTCCTAATATATGAAAATCCTAATTTTAAGGGCAGGCAGATGAGGATGAGATTAAGCAGGCAGGTAGGTAGGTAGGTAGGAGATATGACCACAAAATAACTGAAGTTACTGAGTTAGGAAGGACGCAGTGGGGGTGGGGGTGGGCAAAAGCCCAAAGTGTTCCCTTAAAACTACTTCGGCCTGTCGGACCTGAGTTCTCCTTTGCATCGTCTGACCCTCACTTAAGTGGGGACCGAGGGGCTAGTCTCGAGTTAGTTTGGGGGAGGAAGAGTGCCACAGGGACCAGGAGACTCCTCCGCAACGAGGAGGTCCAGCATGCTGGCAGAGGCCGCTGTGATGGAAGTGGTTGAAGCACGGGATGAAGAAGGCGATGAGCCCTCAAAGGGATTTTGCGGGCTCGACAGGGCGTCAAATGGGGGGAGGGTTTCAGTCGACGATGGCAGGGAGGAGAAAGCGGAGGAGGAAGAGGAGGAAGCGCCTGCGGCCAGGAGCTCATCCATGTGCTTCGGCGGAGTATGGCCAACCTGTTGTAGCAGACTGTAGAGCAGTTTCACCTCACGCAGTCGACTGCTCACCATGTTCTGCAGGTTCGTATGCTCCTGCTGGAGCATTGAAAGTCTGCAAGGAGAGAAGCACGCTCAAACGAAAGTTCTTTTCATCCTTAGCACCTGAGATAGGAAGCGGGAGCTGGTTAGCTCACTAATACTGCTAACCTTGCGCTAAATTCAAGGAGGGGTAGTATAGTGTAGTGACCCAACTCCCTGTGCAGCACTCAATCTCTCGCGACAGTAAGCAGGCGCGCGCGTCAGCGTCTGCCTGCAGCAGCCTGGTCCAGCCAATAATCTCATGATGAGGCTGACTCACAGATGACCCCACTGGAGACATTGTGATAACTTCTGCGCTCTCGCACTTGTCTTTAAAAGTAGTCGTAGCGGTACTCAAGCCTGCCAATTAAGTGAAAACGTGGAAGCAACGAGGTATTCTGTACAGAAGGATTGGAGAATAGTAAGGAGGAAGTCGTCACCCGGTCTGGCATGGCGTTCGATCGTGAGGGTCGT